ATATATATATATATATATATATATATACATATGCGTGCATACATGGTATAGAGAAAGAGAGAAAAAAAGAGAAAGAGAACGAGAGAGAGAACGAAAAAGAGGGTAATAGACGAGCGCTCCAGTGATGTATACCTAAAGTTAGGATCCTGGTTTCCATACGTTACGAGTATACTATGAACAAATAAATATTTTTAATCGAATTGTGAATTACGAATAAAAAGATTTATGATAATATCCATGAGTAATATACGTTATAATATAATTTCACGCAAAACAAAAAGACTAAAAATATAAAACGTTTTTAATAACAAATCTTAGTTATTTTTCTTTCAAATATATATATATATATATGTTTGCTATAATAATCTCAATAAACATATATATGACAATATTTTTCGATTATTTACTACTTAAAATTTTATTTTTCGATTAATTCATGTTTTTTAGAGCAATAAATCCATTAATCAAATAATAAAAATATAAAGGAAATCTCGAAACAGAAAAAAAATTATCGTCATTTTTGAATGAAATAGTAACGTTCTTTCGGGACGGCCCTGTATAAAACGAACTCGACTCGACTCAACTCAACTCGATTCGATTCGACTCGACTCCATTCGATTCAACACAACTCGACTCACGAGCGAGACGATGCGTCGTCGAGGGAAGAGTTAGTTTCGGGAGAGCGAGCACCATGAAAAAGGATGGAAGAACCGAATGAAGCGAGACAGAAAAAGAGGCAGACAGATGAGAAAGACAGAGAAATAGAAGAGAGAAAAAGAGGCAGATAAAGCATGATTGAACAGGGAAAGTGCTCGAGAAAGAGAGAGGACACGAGACGCGAATTGTAGTGCTTGCGCGGACAAAGGGAATCTGTGGCTCCAGTCGTCCCTACGCACACGCATGTACGAATGACGTGCAACTATGCGCACGCATGCACGCCACTGTAGAAACCGCGTGTCTAAAGTCGACGGAAGAAGCGCGAATTCTCTTGTTTCTCCCCGTTCGAC